GCACAAGGTGAGTAGCTTCCTCTTCTTCTTAGGTGGGGCCATTCCCAAGGAAGGTGACTGATATGGAGATCAGCCTCAGGGAGTGTACAAATATCAGCTGGAGGTGTCATGTTGTGAACCTGATAACATTGATTGAAAGCCCTGACGGGCCGGATCTGACCTGCGGGCCGTAGTTTGCCCTTCCCTGCTCTACTGTGTAGTAATACCTCTTGTACCTTCTCCAAGCAGGAGCTTTCTATGTGTTGGAACCATAAAGGAGCCAAGCCTTTAGGCGGAGAATCCCCAGGTTGGGATGTAGAGTACATCCTTCATTCTGCGAGAGGAGGTATGGCCTGGTTTGTCACGAGTTGTGACAGGTAATGGTACCAAGTCTGTTCTTATTTTGCCAAAACGATCAGTATGACATGTTCTCCTTCTCTTTTTATTTTTAATAGGACTTTCGATAGCAGAGGAAATGGAGGAAAGGCATAGAGAAGGTCCCTGTCCCAGGGAAGGAGAGCGTTGCCCAGCATGTGTTGCCCCATCCCTGAAGGAGAAGAAACTGAGGGGGGTAGCCCGTGTGCACTGGCTAGCATCATGGCGAGACCTAACTGCTACCAAAGTTCTCTGATCAGCAGCACAGGGGCGCGAGCACACCGACAGCGGAGCATCCATAGAGCCGGCACTCGAAGAAGAATGATATTTTTTAAATTCTAACACTCTGCAAGTTTGATCTGAGCCACAAAAACAAAGATTTAGGTTTTTTTAAGATTTAGATTCTAGGTTATGCTCAAATAAATTGGTTAGTCTCTAAGGTGCCACAAGTATTCCATTCTAGGTTTTAACTAACAATTTACTTGTACAGGAGCGTTAATCATAGAAAGGAATTCACTTCCTTTTAGCATCAAAGCCCTCCGAGTCAGAAACAGAGCAGGTAGCTATGAAGTAACAGAAGGTAAAGAATCAGACTGGAAATAAGGCATTAATGTTTAACGATGAGAGTAATTAACCACTGGAACAATTTACCAAGGGGCATGGTGGAGTCTTCATCACTGACAATTTTTAAATCAAGACTGGATGTTTTTCTAAAAAAAAAATCTGCTCTAGAAATTAATTTGGGGAAGTTTTTTGTCCCTGTGTTTAGACTAGATATCATAATGGTCCCTGGAATCTGTGTTACATGGTAGCTTGGGAAAGGACTGTAGAAAAAGAATTACACTGATGTAGTGGGAAGATATTTTGGAAAAAAAAGTCCACAATCTGCATTATATTCCAGAAAAGGCATTACAAAACATTATAGCAATAGCCTATCACTTCAGGGAGTCTGGAAACAATATAGGACAAATAACCCCAAAACTGCTAGAGAAATTATGGAGCAATAGGTTCCTTGCCCACAAGTAGTGGGAATACCACTAAAACAACCTTTTGGGGAATCTATCTGTTCCTATATTATCTCAACACAACGATTGTGTGATCCAGTAGTTTTCCTGCTGGGAATACCTGGAATCGATGACCTGCTGTAAGAACAATGGGTAACATGCCTGTTGGTGACAGTTGCCATGCACTTTGTTACACATTGGAAGAAACTAACTCTCCTGAAGGGACCAGCTGGCATATGTGAGTGTGCACTATTTCATTCACGTACAAATTAACAGCCATGAATAGACAGATGGATTTAATGGACAAGGCTATTAGCCATGGAGCAAGGGCTAAAACTAAAGCCACTACCTGCCCTCCTTCCCCTATAGTGCGGCATGCTAGAAGACATTAGAAATTTGCAATTAGGGAGAAAGACTGAGCTGCTTGTGGGGTGGCACTGCCTTACACACCATGGGACGATGCCACCACCCTCATGCAAGATCTCGTGAACCTCCTCCGCCCCCCCAACAGAGATGGCTTTTCAAGGCCGTTCTGCAACTTGACACCAGGGTGCCAGATCCCACAAGTGGGAATACACAGATGCCCTCATGAAAGATTCTGTGACTTTGTGAAGGGCAGGAACTAGAAAACAGATTGTCCCCAAATCAACATTATAGCTGGGTTTTAGAGATGACAGCTAGGAGGGTTGTGCCAGCGTCACATTTTCCCCTCCACTGGCAGAAGTTCTGGTGGGTGAAGAAAGGAGAGAGGCCATGCTCAGAAGCCTGAGTAACATGTCTGGACTACCCCCAGTTAATTCAGGAAGAAGCGCAATTCATTTATAATGGATTGAGGATGGGCCAGGAGCTGGGAAAAGAAGGCTTATATTCCAAACAGCAAAGTATGACACTGCCTAAAGTCTGGCATAAGAACATGCTCTTTGATCTGCTGCCTATAGAATGTGCTTGCAAGTAAAAAACTAATTTCTCATTCAAAGCAGACTTTTTAATACATAAGGATTTTCTTCTCAAGTTAACGCTTAAGTAATGTCCTGTCATTTGTGTGAAATGGGCTAATTTATTCTCACATCACTGCATGTAGCCATAAGGAGAATACAAGAGGGAAAAAAAAAATCACATGGGGAAAAAAATCAATTTGATCGACTTGAACACAGTCCCCAGAGTAGCTGGGGATTTAGTCTCTGACACTGCCTTACTGTTAGCCTTCAATCAGATCATTTATTATTGTTCAGGACTGCTGCAGAGAGACTATGAAGTGCACAGACTAGTGATCTTTTTATGGCTTTTCCTGTAGATTGCTATTGAAACTCTATCAATTTTTCTTCCTAGCCTTTTTGCCCAAAACTATGCCTGCATTTGTAATTCACACACTTTGAGAACTTGAGTTGTATGACTATTCAAGCTTATTATCTTTTTGTTTGCAAACCCTAGCGATTTCTGTTTGTAGGTACAGTGCTATTTTATATGCAATGCAACTTTAAGAACCCAAACTTGGGAACTGAAGTATGCTTTTTAAACACGGATGTGGTGAAATATATTTTGCATATATCTGGATGAAATATATACTATTTTATTATTTCTCAACTGATGCTAATGATTTATAGAATCATAGAAATGTAGGACAGCAAAGGACCAAGATGTCATCTAGTCCAGCCCCTTGCGTTCAGGAAGGCCACATAAACCCTGGGCATTCTACAACCACCCTTGGAAGCTTGTTCCACACCTTAACTACCTTATAACTAGAAAGTTTTTCCTAATATCTAAAACTAAATCTCCCTTGCTGCAGATTAAGCCCATTACTTCTTGTCCTGCCTTCAGTGGACATGGTAACAATTGACCACCATCCTCTTTATAACAGCCAGTAACACCTTTGAAGACTGTTATCAGGCCCCCCACCCCCATCTTCTTTTCTCAAGACTAAATGTTCCCAGGTTTTTTTAACCTTTCCTCATAGGTCAGGTTTTCTAAACTTTTTGTCATCTTTGTTGCTCTCCTCTGGACTCTCTTCAGTTTATCCACAGCTTTCCTAAAATATTGTGCTCAGAACTGGACACAATACTCCCTCTGAGGCCCCAGTGCCAAGTAGAGTGGGACAATTACCTCTCAGGTCTTATGTACAACACTCCTGTTCATACACCCCCAGAATGAAAATAGCCTTGCTCACAACTGCACCTTACTGTTAACTCATTTTCAATATGCGATTCACTATAACCCCCAGATCCTTTTCAGCAGTTCTAACACCTAGCCAGTTATTCCCCATTTTGCAGTTGTGCATTTGATTTTTCCTTCCTAAGGGAAGTACTTACCTTTATTGAATTTCATCTTGTTTTAAGTCAGATCAATTCTCCAAAAGCCACCCACCTGCAAGAATGGGTGAGGGAACTTGATGGGGCCAGTGATGAAAGGGGAACAGTCCCAGTAGTAAGGGAGAGAGACACTTGCTAAGGGACATTATGTAGCTCCTCTCCCTAGGAGTCTTTGGCACTCATTGGCCAGCTGGGAGAGAGGGATGCTGACTGACTAGCATTCCCCAGCTGCCAGGATTTAGCCCAGCATTAAGGGCCCTGTGGAGGCTCTTTTGACTCCATTCCAGCAGCCTGCCCTACCCACCTGCACTAGGAATGGGAACCTGGCCTGACAGATGCTGCGGGTCTAGCCAATCATGGGCCAATTGGCAAAAGACCAGGGAGTTCCTTGCAGCACCTTCAAGCCACAATGGGTTAAGCAGGGATGCACTTATTACCTAACTAAGGTACCAGGGTAAAGTTATTTATTCATTGCAACTTGTGGCCAATTTCCAGTGCGATTAAGAGAATAAAATGAATGGTTCCCAGAGTTAAAAGACGTGGGATTTTGGTGTTGGGCCTTGGGCTCATGGGATAGGGCGAGACCTTGTGGCCTTCATGGGCCAAGGTCCCCGCCCTGCTGCACAATTTGTCCCCCCTCATGTGGAGAAGGGTGCTAGGACTCAGAGAGCAGAGACCTACCATGCGTTATGGGTTATATGGTAAGAAGCCCCGTAACCTGGCGGCAGTTATGGGTTATTTGGCAAGGAGCCATATGTGTAACCCCTGCACTGGAATCAATTAAATGCCTGGTATAGGAGAATATGGGAGTTGGGCTGGTAGCACCCCTCTACTTTGTTAAAGTTTAATAAAAGTTGCAGCCTGCCACTTATTTCCATGTATGTGTCTGACCTCATTTTGCCGGTGTCCACATCAATTTGAATTCTAATGCTGTCCTCCAAAGTGTTTGCAACCCCTCCCAGCTTGGTGTCATCTGCAAACCTTACATGCATACTCTCTCATTCTATTACCCAAGTCACTAATGAAAATATTGAATAATACCGGACCAAGGACTGATCCCCGCTAGACCTCACAAAATACATCCTCCCAGTTTGACAATGAACCATTGATAACTACTCTTTGAGTACGACCTATCAATCCGTTGTGCACAAACCTTATAGTAATTTCATCTAGACCCCATTTTCCTCATTTGCTGGTGAGAATGTCATGTGGGACTGTGTCAAAACCCTTACTAAAACCCAATATATTAGATATACATTAGTATAGGTTTGGACCCAGTTACAGCCTTTCTGTTCAAACAATGTAAATCACTTAATTCCAAAGCAAAATCACTTACAGGAGTCTCAGCTTTCAGACTTGAATTCTCTCGTAAGATTTCTTTGAGGGACTTTTTACTTATTGATGCTCTTAATTCACTCACTGATGTATCCTTTGTTTTTTCAAAGGTGCTTGGGCTTTCCTTAGAGAATTCAGGTTTACTTCCAGTTGGAGAAAGACAGGGGGTAGGCATCAAGCATCTTGGAATGTTATCAGGCTCTACTTTTTTCACAACCGAATCTTGTGGGGTTGAGGATAGTGTTTTCAGGCAGCTATGTTTGCTATATCCTTTATACTTCCAGTACTCAGGACTCCCTGACATCATCTTTAATGGAATCCCTTTAAAAACTGTCGAATCAGATGACCCTGATGTACTGTGGCTGGTTTTGAGGTTTGAAGCACCTTGGATGAATTCACTGGGGTCATCCTAAATTTGGGAAAGAAAACAACAGTGATTTTGAGAGGAAACTACCCTCCACTTGTTTAAGATCTGTTTGCAAATATTTAGTCCTAAGATTTCAAAATTGCTCTCTAATTATGATGGCTTAATTTGAGATTTTTCAATGGTTTTGAGCATCTCCTGCTCCCAGTGAAGGAGAATGGAGCGTTGGGTGCTCAGGACCTTTACAAAAATCAGGTTTATGTATCTCAAGTTGGGCACCCCAAAATGACAGCATGCTTTAAACGTATAGGCCTAAATTCCTGTTCTAATTCAGAATGCTGGAAATTCCACAAGTCTGTATGTCATAAATATACTTTTTAGTACAATGTGGCTCACACACCTGTGCTAACCAATAACATTGATGTAAGGTGGAAAAGTCAACAATGCTGATATCCGCTTGACTATTGTAGTGGTAGGTGACACTTTAACATATTGTATAGAAACCCTAAACATATCTGTCTGCAGAGATCGCCTTGCCCTTTTTTGAAAGTTACTAAAAAAAAATCATTTAGCATATAACATTTTAAGAATCCTTTATGAATCCATTATTCCTCTTCCAAACAAGGTCTATACAAAACATCCAAGAATTGCACTTCTGATGTTCCCTTAAAATTTCAACTAAAAAATAAACAGCAAGCAGAAAAATCAAGTGATATTGGAGGAGGAAAGATTGGGTAAACTAGGGATGGTCATCCCATGGTCCTTATTGATACAGGGAAGGGGAAAATGGAGGCCTCCCATCCTTATCCAATCAGGTTCCACACTTCCTGTCTCCCACAGGCACAACACAGTACTACTGTATTTGTTGGAAGAATGGCTACAACATGAACGTTGCATCCTTAAATATGCATATTTCACCTTCTAGGGTCCAATCCTGCTGATATTGAAATCAAAGGGAGTTTTGTCATTCACTTCACTGGGACCAGGACTAGACCCTAAAAGGGGAAATTCATACCTAAAAGAAAACCCTTCATTATATAATAATCTTTACAACAAATATAGTAGCACTGTATTATATAGTTTCATGAAGAATACACTTCTCTCCTATTGCTTTATTTTGTTTTATGTTTTCTTTGAGTAGGTTTACATAAGACACGAGCAGTGAACATTTTGTGGGTTGAGGATAATGATTACATATAGGTCTTTCTCAATGATAGGTTTCTTGTGGTTATCGTATGATTTTGTTCTTAATATAAAAGAAAAAAGTGTTACGGCAGAATAGTCTCTCCTCCCGTCCCCCGCAATCACACACAGGGCTTTCCCTATAAAATGAGCTAAGCAACTTTTCAGCAACCACATCCATATGGAGACCAAAACAATCAACTGTTCATTAATATTTTTATCAAAGGTGCTCAAGTCACAAAGTTTTTATTTTCCCTTAAAAACAGAATTCTAAAGGATAAAAATCCAGAAAAAAGGGGACCCATATTATTTATTAAACCCTTTTATATAGTGCTGTAAATGTACATGACACTTTATAAGCAGATTAGTAGGTTAGCTGCAAATATAAAACACTGAAGTGTAAAAGTAAATAACAGAAGCAGGAAATAAATTTGGAGGCCTTTTGGCTGCAAGGTTTTCTTTTATCTCCTCAGACTATAAATTTAAAAATGCAATTAGAATGCGTTTCCCCAATCTCTGTACAGACGGCTCCTATTTTCCTGTTTTATCATCCGGCATCTTTTTGGAATCAATATAAGAAAGTGAAGGTTACGATGAGGATGTGTTAAATCAGCTCAGCGCTACGAGAAAGTACGTAAACCCTGAAACAGTCAAATGAAAGCAAACATTAATGTTCTATATAGTTTCCATAATCACCAGTCTTCCCAATTCATCCTGAAAGATGTGTGAAAGCCAAATTTATAATAATGTATATTATTTAAGGGTAGAATTCAATTTAAAATCAGATTACAGCCCCAATTCCGCAAAGCACTCAAGCACATGCTTTACACACATTGACTTTAGAGGGACATAAGCACAACCTTAAAGTTAAGCATGTGCATAAGCTTTTTTTCTGAATTAAGGCTTATAGGAGCTACGTGCAGGGAAGCAAACAGGACGTTAAGAAGGACAGAATCCACCACACTATGAGAGAAGTAGGATGAACGTAATGTATTCAGGCTAAACCTTCTAAATTTGATTTGTGAAACACCTGCATGAATCAATGAGCTATGGATGTATGCACAACACTTCATAATATTTTATTAATGTATTCCATGGCATAAGCCATTTAACACCTTGAAAAATCTCTCTCTTTGTATTAAGGTACAGGATGTATAAGGAAGGGTAAACGAGAATAAACTCTGATTATAACAATATCTTAGTTTAGCATCACTGACCCCTACTAGCTTGTAAATAACTGGAAAAGACATAAATATGCACTATTTTTATAGAAGACATCTGAAACTTCACACATGTAGCCATTTCTACAGTATTTCTTTTTCTTGTAGGTTTTATGTGCACAATACAAGATTTACAGTTATATGAAATGCCTTTGAAATTTATAAACACTTAATATGCTGCTTTTCTTCATTTTGTTTTTGTTACTGCTAAAGTAATATGCATTTTGGAAGGTTGTAAATATTGCTTTATTTCCCTAGTTTGGGATTTCACTGAAGCACAAAGACACATTTCTCTTTTTTTTCCAGACTTTTATTTGCCACACCACAGTTATTTTAAAACCTATGCTATAAACCTGCACTATTAAGTCACATTACAGTACTGTAATTTGACAGATTATTAAAGAAAATGTCACATTATTGTCACATATTGGAGACAAATGGATGATACTTATTTAACTTAAATTTAAATCCCTCCCACCTATCTATTGAACTTGGGTTTTATAATCATTTTGTTTGTTAAATATTCAATCATCAGATTGTGCCAGGACTATCAATAAAGTTTGTTTGATTAACTCCAGCACAGCATATGTATACTGAAGATGCAAATGATTTCCCTGAGGAGTTAGCATGTCTATTGCTGTTCCTTGAAAGAACATGCAGATGGGCAGTTGGACAATAATTTCTGGATACTTAAAATTGATTGCTCTTGCTGGGTTGTAATTTTAAGAAGATCATTCTAACGACTCTTGAGGGCCACCTACTTGGAGGGACACAGGCCTTCTGTACCCAGAGTCTTAATGTCAAAAAGTCAGAGTAAAATTGCGAGAGTACGCTGTCTTATTTAATTGTATTATGCTGGCTCTTTTAATTATGTAAGTGCAGAAAATTTCCTGATTCAATTGAAGGCTTCACAGATGAGCTCATCGGCTCTATCCAAAACACTGTATGATACTGCAGTTGTTATGCTGTGTTGTAAACCAGCAAGAGTTCTTACTTTTGCTCTAGGTTCGATGGAATGGGCGGATGCTGACAGCTGAGTCTAATTGGACAGTGTCTATGACAGAAGAGAGAGATACATTAGAATTTAGTTGTCAGTTTGAAAGTATGGCCGCTTGTACAAACATAGAATAAGTCACTGGTGGTAAACTGCAGCAAGATAAGAAGCTGTTTTGCTGTTTTCTGATCATTTGGGACTGGCAGTTTAATAACAGCACTTAACTGTTTCAATGACTAATTAGCTACCCACTAACGGTATTTATAAATGATTGCATTTTTCAGCTTGAAAACTAATTTGGAAAACCAAATATTTCCCTCCGGATGGCAGAGAAGGGAAGTTCCATACATGGTAGGTTCTCTAAAGTTCTTATTATGCATGGATAGGCACTCCTGAGTGTCACGTGGCCTCCAGCCCATAAGTATAAGGGGATTCAAAGATCACTTCTCCTGGAAACTTAGCTCCAAGGAAAGCCATTTGGCCTGGGTCTCACATGCCTCGTAAGTAAAGCCCTTCCTTTCTGGTATTATTTTATTAATTTCCTGGGAATTTATCAGTGTTTATTTCAAAAATTTAAAAAATGGGTGACAAATCAATGAAAAATTAATTGCACATATTATCAGGGTTAATACTGGAGAGGGGGGACAGAAAACCCCCCAATTAGAATAAAGGAAGAATGCATTGTTTATGAAACCATTATCTCGAATCCCCATTACACAAACAACACCAGTTTACTGTTGGTGACTTGCACAGTTGTGTTTGATACCAGGGGCTTCCGGGCGAATTCCACAGGCTCAAAGCAGCTTTTTCAAAGTGTCTTTTCCAAGGCTCAGACTCCTGCGGTCTTGGATGTAGCTGAATTTAGAAAATATTCTCTCTCCATCAGCTGAGCCAGGTGGGACACTGCCACCATGTGATCCTTTGCAGCCGCAGGGAGATTGGAATGACCTGTTCGCAGCTTGGGGGCTGGACAGGGGCTCTGTCTGGTGGCTGAAGTGGAAGGGGCTCTGTGCCCTTGAAACCTCTCTGGGCAGTGACATGTCCCTAGGCCCAGCTACTTACTAGGTCTACCATGGGGGGGGAGCAGGTGGGAGGCAAGGGATGCCTGGTGGGAGATGGGGGTGCTCGGTACTCATGGTTGCAGCAGGTGGGAGAGGGTGCCCAGTAGTCATGGGGGGGCATGTAGGGGAAGAGAGGATGCCTGGTGGTAATAGGGGTGCCAGATACTCATGGTAAGAGTGTGTGGGGGGAAAGGAGGCTGGGAGGGAGACCAACAAGGTCTGTACCCTGGGGCTGTGCTGAGGGGGCCAGTGCTCAGAGGGTGCAGCCTGTCGCTGCAGCAGTCGGGCATTCTTGGCAGACAACCTGCCAGTCTCGCATCTCCTCTGCACTGGTGCAGATGCCATCAACCGGCGTGTGCAGGCATGTTGTGCCATCCAACTGGGAGTCTTTGAGGCAGGAGCAGGGTCCATTGAGTTCAAGCAAGTACAAAATGTGGGTAGAAATCAGAAATATCCAAATACTGGATTTTTTAAAACCTGGCCATTTTTTGGAGGTTTTTGATAAAAAACAAAAACGAAGGGCCCTATTCATAGGTTAGTGAGTCTTTATGCACTGATACTCTCACTACTTGAGTCACAAGTACATAA